ACAAGATGGATTTAGGAAGTATTGTTTTTGTAATTTATACTCAAACTTTTCAGACTCTACCCACTCTAGCGCCATCACATGGTCGAGGAGAAATTAGGCTAGCCCTCCGCTTCCTGCCAGAGATCACCCACAGTGAAGGTCAACACAGTCTTAATCTGCTTTTTAAATTAGTCGTTATCTTTTGTTATCCAAAATCTCACCCATTCTAAAGACAAGGTTCATATTGTTTATTTATTTGAATTTCTTATTTGAAGGATTAGTGAAGGAGGGTCCAAGCACTGGAGAGATTCACATTTGGGTGAAAGAATGCAAAAACCTGCCTCTAATCAGGGCAACCATCGACCCATATGTTAAATGGTAAGAATGAAATATCCATTTTAGAGAAATACCCCGGCATTTAGGGAAATACTCTCTTTTGAGAATTAGATGAGAATGTTGTCAACTTCTTTTATATAAAAAATAAATGTATAGCCAGCAGACAATCAGCATAATTTAACATTGTGATTATAATAAAAACAGAAGTGTAAAAACACTCTATGGTTTATCAGGGGAAAATCTTCTGGCCTACTTCTTGTCAACCACAGTCATTTCCTGGAGATTTAACTTTGTGTGAAACAGCTAATTTTAATTATCACATACATTTTGTGACGTATTATGGTTAATTACTGCGCATTAAAGGTGCGTGGAAGTGGATTTTATTCAACCAACCATAGACCCATGTGTGTAGTATCATGCTAAGCTAAACTAACCTTTTCCTAGCTAAAACCTTAGCCTCATATTAAATGGATTAACATGAGAGTGGTGTTCCAGTTCAAATCAATCACTCAACAAATGTCCCTTTTCCCCCTCATCTCAAGCTTCGTTCTGCCGGACACAAGCAGGAAGAGTCGCCAGAAGACGCGCGTGCTGCGGAGGACAGTAGACCCAGCGTTTAACCACACCATGGTGTACGACGGCATCAGACAGGCTGACCTATCAGAGGCCTGCGTGGAGCTCACTGTGTGGGACAGGGACAGACTAGCCAGCAACCTGCTGGGGGGGCTGAGGATTGGAGCTGGAACAGGTACTGGTAGAGGGTCATGTTTTTTCTAAAAACACAAACTGATAAGAATTTTGACTAATGCTAAGGTATTCATCATCAGCTGGAGCATAGAAAGGTTAAAAGTCTAAGACATTTCCTTAAAAAACGTATTGATCAAATACAGTTCGCAGCACAGTGTGGTAAAGTGCATGTTTCAGTTAGATGTCAAATTGTTGTCATTTATATGTAAAAACTGGGGTCGCATTGTGAGGTATCAGAAGTAATCACCAATCCACCAATTTGTTCAATTATTTATTAATCAATACTTATATTCACTCTGATTTCAACTAACAGGACTATTGCCTGGCAGATGTCTAAATGTCTCGGCACAATATTAATCCCACAGTCACATGAATTTAGGTTTATAACCTGCACATTTTCCATTGTGATTTGTCCAGCCATTACATTCTTGAATTACTGGTTGGCCAGCAAAATGTCAGGAAATACTCAAAACTCAATTCATATATCAATAAAACAGAGTAAACATATTCTGTTATAGTCCAAGTCATGCGATCAGAATTATTCTCAACAAAATGTAGTCAAAGTATCTAAAGTAGAAATAACATTAGGCACTACAATATCAGTGATATATAGAATTATATATAACATTATAAAAATAAATCTGAGGGGGTTGAGATGATTTGTGAGGGAGAAAATAAGTAAAATACAAAATGATGATACAAAGAAATATGTATTTTTTCTTTATTCACCTTTATTTGTGAAACATTTGAAAATGTTAACTCTTTGGGCCTCAAACACTTACTTACATGAAGCTATATGAGAAGTGTAATGCTTGTCCTTTTAAGACTTTATATGTCTCTGTCTCCCTGCAGGCAGAAGTTATAGCGCCCTGGTGGACTGGATGGACTCCACTCCCTTTGAGGCCGCCCTGTGGGAGCGCATGATGGTCACCCCAAATGAATGGGTGGAGGATATTCTCCCATTAAGGGTACTGAACTCTGCAAAAACTGGTTTCAAATAGGTCTACATATATATAACGCCATATTGCAAAGACATTATATTTTTGAGCAGTATAAATGCAATAAGTTAACTGTTTTAAAGATTTATATTCTGCCCAGAAAAGCTGAAAATAAAGTGAAGACAATGTGTGGTACAATTGTCTACTGTGTTTTTTTTTAACCTCTACAGGTACTCTAGGAAATAATAGAAATTGAAACGGTGGTAACAAACTCTCAGGAGAGTATGTTGTGTATGAAAACAGACACTGGCAAAACTGTGAGCTTCTGCTTGGGAACAAAAGGAGAAATGTAAGACACCTGCTGGACAATGTGTTGGCTTTGCCTTTTAAAGGGTGTCACCGGACAAAATAATAAACCCAAATAAATACATTTAAAAACAGACCATTAAAAAGTCTGGCATAACACCGATTGATAGACTTCTTTTACCCATAGATCCAGATTCATATAATATAACACAGTATTTCTAAGCTCCACTTTTTTGTTAGTTGCTTCCAAAGTGCAACTCACCTGTTTACTCCTTTAATATCTCATATATTTAGCAGGCGTTTTGTAAGGCTAATATGAATGAAAATAGGCTGGCACAGTGGTAACGATAAACAATGTACATTTAAATATTTTTGTAATTGTAAGCGCTGTATCTTATCAAAACCTTGCTCTCAAACGTACTTTTATTTTGTCACTATTGTTATGAATCTAATGTAACAGCATTTGTGATGTGATGAACTGTTGCTATATAAAAGGGCAATTTGATACAACAAAAACCCCAAAATACACACGAAGTTACACAAGCTGTTGCAAAAGGTTGCCACCATGACTGCTACTTACTGCCTTATTCTCATCCACTTCAGCTAAATCTAAGTGACCATTGTATAAGGAATCATTCTGTAAATGTTCATTGTTATGCAGATGATACTCAACTATATTTATCAATCAAGCCTGATGAAATTAATCTAAATAAAATTCAAGACTGCCTCAAGGACTTAAAAACGTGGATGACCTTAAACTTTTTGATGTTAAACACGACCAAAACTGAAGTTATTGTACTTGGCCCAAATAATCTACGAAACATACTATCTAAAGATATACTAACTATGGATGGCATTAATTTGGCCTCCAGTGAGACTGTAAGGAATCTTGGTGTTATATTTGATCAGGATTTATCTTTTAATGCCCATATAAAATCAACTTCAAGGACCGCCTACTTCCATCTACGTAACATTGCAAAAATCCGGCATATCTTGCCTCAAAACGATGCAGAGAAACTAGTCCATGCATTTGTTACTTCAAGGCTGGATTATTGTAACTCCTTATTATCAGGGTGTACCAAGAAGTCAGTCAAGTCGCTTCAGCTGATTCAAAATGCTGCAGCTTGTGTACTAACCAGAGTTAGGAAAAGGGACCACATTACTCCTACACTGGCTCCCTATACAGGATAGAATTTAAAATTCTTCTTCTCGCCTACAAAGCCCTTAATGGGCAGGCGCCATCTTACCGTAAATAACTCATTATACCCTACTGTCCTACTAGGGCATTGCGTTCCAAGAATGCAGGGTTGTTGGTTGTTCCTAGAGTCTCTAAAAGTACAATGGGAGCCAGAGCCTTTTCTTATCAAGCTCCACATTTGTGGAATCAGCTTCCAGTTTGTGTTCGGGCAGCAGACAGCCTATCCGTTTTTAAGAGTGTGCTTAAGACCTTCCTTTTTGATAAAGCTTATAGTTAGGGCTGATTAGATTCAGGCCCTAGTTTTGCTGCCATAGGCTTAGTTTGTCGGGGGACACCTTACTTCTTCCTTCTCTCTGTCTGCACCAAATTTTCTTTTTGGTGTCTATCTACAGCGGGATCCTGAGTCGTGGCTGATCCTGTTGCTGTGGTCCTGAGTCCTGGATCGCAAGCCCTGGATCTTGAGTCGTGGCTGTGCCTGTTGCTGTGGTCCTGGATCATGAGTCCTGGATGGATATCCTTGTGGATTCATCTTCCTATTATAGACACATGCATTTCCAAACATTTGGACTACCTATGTTGTAAATGTATTATCTTTTCAATTTACACACGGCATCTATTGCACGTCTGTCCGTCCTGGGAGAGGGATCCCTCCTCTGTTGCTCTCCCTGAGGTTTCTCCCATGTTCCCCTTTAAACTGTGGGTTTTCTCCGGAAGTTTTTCCTTGTACGATGTGAGGGTCTAAGGATAGAGGGTGTCGTATTGTCATACTGATATTTTGTACAAAGTGTGAAGTCCACTGAGACAAATGTAACATTTGTGATATTGGGCTATATAAATAAACATTGATTGATTGTATTATTGAGATGGCAGTGGAAATCTGAAATTTCAAAACCAATCAGAGACTCATTGTTAGAAGACTTGTGACACTGTGCAATGCCACAGATAACACATATGCTGGCCAGAAACCCAATTCGCTATGAATAATGTTGTCACTTCCACACTGTCGTACGTGTAAATAAGTATCTGTTTGCTAAGGCGTCAACCATATGCTCCAAAAAGATCAGTTATTGCATATTAAAAGACATGCACCATGTAAAGTTACTAATATTTACTAATAGTAACTGAAATAATAAAGGCTTACACATTTTAATATAGATTATAAAGCCATGCTTCACTATGAAATGAGGTGTAAGATTTGGTTAAAATCGTTATATACAGTCTAGGTAAAAATGTATAAACCAGGGCTTTTATCATTTTAGTTTAATTTGCATTTTAGTGTTGAATATTATCAAACAAATATGTTATTCATCAAGTGAGCCATTGAGACACATTTTGGCACACACTGCTGTCCATACAGTGCAGTATATCAGAGTGATTATTTCATGTTATTCAAAGCCTGCATGTGAGGACAGTAAAAACTATTATTTATATTTGTAGCAACCAGACTTGTATCTGCAATTTTTTCACGTTTTTTTTATTCAGTCTTTTCAGCCATACAGTGAGAGACAGTGAACATTTTAATGTTTGACTAAGCAGAATTGTTTTCATCAATCTCATTGAGAACAATTCAAAAGTACAACATTTCTAAATGATAACAACAATCTTAATCAACCACCATTCTTTAAATACTTCAATATGACTCTGACAACATGATTAAACTAACATATCATTATAGTAAAGATTCTCCATCCCCATATTAATAAACAATGTGACTAATTATGATTATCAAGCAAGCCTAGATTACTACTAATGTTATAATGTGTGTGAAATGGTAATATGACAGTATGACATTTCTGACTAACGTCTCTCAATTAATATCTGTGTATAACATCATTGCTTTGTAAATCATGACGTACTAAGCTGGCACTCAGATTGGGGAAGGACTCAGCTCTCAGTCAGGGTTTGTTACTGGATGATTGGTTTTCTCTGTCTGCTGTACAATGTAAAGTAAACAGCCATGGCAAGGATGACAATAGTCAGGACGACAATGCAGACAATAACAGCCACCACGGGGCTGCTGTAGTTGCTCTCAACTGGTGTACCTATGTGAGCGGGGAAGGAATAAGGCATAATGGCATCACACAGTACTACACCTCATGGTAATATTAGTTCATGTTGCTAATTACTGACTGAGAAAGTAACATCAATAAACACGATTCTTACCGTAAGAAGCTGAGAAAGTTTGAGCTTCTCCTGAAGATGAAACCAAACTCAATTAATAATTGACAGAGTTCACTTGAAAAAATAAGTTGATGAAATTAATAATATGATTTTTATGGAAATGTGATTATATGTTTTCTTGTGACCTGGTGGAACTGAAACCACTACGATGTATGCATCCTAAATATGAAGCTAGTGCCAGTTGCCTGTTACCATAACAAGTTATTTGCAAATAAAATCATAATATTTCGTGCACAAGTTGTTTTTGTGCCCTAACTTTACAAAATCTTGATCATAATGAAATTAATGAAACCTGTTTTTGTTTTTTTCACGTTATTTGAAAGCATAAAGATAATGTGTTTACCTGCTAATAGTGGATGTTCAGAAAGTGCTTCTGTGGTTTTAGGCACCAACAAACTATGTTTTTATTTTGATACATTCAGAGGATTCTTTTTGTTTAAAAAAGTGTACCCAGTACAATTTGCACATTTGATGGTACTATACCATTTATATCTTTTTTTCACAAAGGAAATTGTTATTGTTATCAGATGAGGGGATATATCAGTTCAATTGTGCCAAAAAGACTCACCACTGGTTTGTTTTCCCACCAGAATGGCAGGCGAGGTGACGGTAGCATTGGGCAACGCATCCTGGACCGCTCTCTTTCTCCGATTTGTTGTACAGTCCTGTTCAACATTAATAAAGATAATCAAAACTACGGTGTATAAATGAACTATTGTAAGTAACTATTTGTGATATCTTTAAAGAAGGTCCTTTTAAAGGAAATCTGGTGTCTACTCACAGGGAACAATTTGCTACACGCCAACGGCTCACAGAGCCTGGTGACACAGTGCAGGAAGAAGGTGGAAACTGTCTTGTTTTTGTGCTGCACAAATCTGAAGGCCTCAAAGGAGAAGTGTGCCTCCTGCTTCTCTCCATTAAGATCCACCTTAGTTTGTGGGTCACGGTTACACCTTGAATGAAAAAATATGGCAATGTGACTGCAAGTGGGGAAGTACCATAGCTGGATTGGATTGGAGTGTAAAAGGAGGAGGTTTCATACTGTGGTAACTTGTAAACTTGTATTGAGACTCACCCAACAAAAAGGTCATAATAGGTTAACTGAATGGGATCTGGATTTGTTGTTACGTAGCATCTGTCTAGCATCACGTTGAACCTGTGAGGACAGACAGGTGTTTTTTAAGTATCTTTTCTTGATGTAACACAACGTTTGCTGTTAGCTGCAGCATCATAAATACCTGTCTGTTAGATTGTTTGCTTTAACTGCAACATAAATCTTGGTCTTCAGATTTAGTCCTGTTTCTGGTATAATCAACCTTTCTTGGTACAGTTCATCCTGTTCCACAGAAAAATTAATACAAAATGCATAACATCATAACATTTTGAAACATATTCTCTGTCAAATTCCTAAAGAGAGAGTAGAACTTACTTTGAAGAGCAGAATACTCAGTGTGCTGATGAAACTACCATTGTTGTCTCTTATGGCAAGACTCGAACCTGATCTGTATCGAATGAAAATAAACTTAAATTAATACAAATTTCCCTCAGTGCCTATTTCCCATGCCGTGTTCAGTGCTATTCATGACATACTCACACGCTCAGTTGGGTGTTGTTCACGAGATACTGCATCGGGTAGAAGCAGGAGAACTTGTATAAGATCTGCGGGAGATAAGTGATCATACCTGAAGAGGGGTCTACTGAGTTTATAGTGCCAGAGATGTTGACATACTGGACTTTGGAGAAGTCAGCAAAGTCTCCAGTTCCAACCTGATCGGATATCTGTTGAAATAAAACAGCATTTATTTCACAGAAATCAGTGTCTGATTCATTCTTTGATGTATGAGTGACTAAATAATCCTTGAGTTTTATATACAAAATGAAAACTTTTACCATATGGCACCAATTATTTTTTTAAAGGTATAGTAAAGAATACCTTAAAGTCATTGTTGCAGGATGAAACAGAACTTTCATTCATTGGGAATCTGAATTTTAAGACTGGTGGGGTCATGGTCCAGTCGGCAGTCCCATAACACTCAGGTGTGTTTATCTGATTATTGAGGACCATCAGAGACTCATTGTAAAGTGCTTGGTACACTGGACAAATGTAGATGCTCAGGTCCATAAACTGAGTGCCGCAGTCCACAGTGATGTCCGAGTTTTCTGACGGATTTTTAAAAAAAAGAAGGTTATTCAGGTAATTCAAACTGCGATGGAGAAATTTGAATATCAGTCATTTAAGACTATGTGTAATAAACGCCACAAACTTGGAGCTCTGTTTGTTTCGCTTAGAGCGCAATCTTCTGGTAGCTGGGCCTCAGTCCTCATAAAGAGGCTAAGCTGGCACACAAGGATGATCAGCCTCATTGTTCTGAATGTGGACCTGAAAGAAAACAGCAAAACAATGGGAACTGAGGCATTCACCATCTTCTTTCAACCTTAGTGTACACTAGGGAAATCCCTACAAAGGTAATATAATTACTTCAGGCCATTATGCAACATACAATCACTCCAAAGAAGAAACATGAATAATTCAACCAGCGCTATCATGATTTATGTAGTGTTTTAGAAAAAAGTAGCTTGACATAAAATAACTAGTATATCCTTCAATTCGGTTACATTTAAAACCACTATATCTCGACACAACATACTATCATGCATTTTATTCAAATTAGAAATAAACTTCCATTATTGATCACATGGTGACCTCTCAGATTAAATTGCATATGTCAGGTTTGATTTAACAACCTAAATGAATGCATGAAAAAATAATTGCAGATTTTTCTGTGTTGTTGATAGACAAATTATTAAAAATTACATAATATATTAATGAAAGAGGTCTATTTGATGCAAAGCATTATAAAGCCATAAAACCTACAGTATGACACCAGCAGAAATATACGTTATAATGTTATCTCAGGGACTCACCAGTAAGTCTTCATTTTCTGTCTTGATATCAGCAACCAGAGCTCTGCATTTATACTGTCGCCTCTACAGGGGCGTGTGCGGGAACATCTCACACAATAGTGTAATGTGAGTGGAGCTTTTAACATCTTTAATTTCATTTTTTTTAATATTGTACATACATTTTGAATTTGATTAACAATAAATCTAAAATTAAGAGGGTTGAAGATTCACCTTCTATTGATTGTAACATGCAGCTTTTAAGCCACTTTTAATCCCACATCCAGCTCTCTGTCACAGTTCACTGGTGTTTTAGAATACTGTTTTGTTATGAGGATTTATTAATCAGCAGTTTGGTTGGAATTATTAATGTGACGATATGACTCTCACAGCGAAAATGTAATTAAGCTTGTCCCATCCTCAGAGAGCTCAGATAGACCAATAGAGACATTTGAGGATTGTGTGATTTTCTTTGAGAGGTGAAAGTTACAAGACAACATTGTTTTATCAATAGTTTGCTTTTAATAATGTGTTTAACAGCAGGGCGCCAGATTGATTCTGAATTGTTTCCCCCTTAATGCCACATTAACAGAATGAGCTTTATATACCCAGTATTGCAATGGCAATCATCTCATCTGGTCTGGCATAAGATGCAACTTGATGTTAATTCTAGGTTGATGTAGATAAAGATGCTGTACGATAGAAAAACCTTTTGTTGCTGTGTTGGGTATGGGCATGGAGAGCTTTGCATAAACCTTAAGAAACCATAACATATACATAACAGCAGTGTTTTATTTTTCGTAGGTTTATGAAAGAGCAGGGTCAGTGATCATAACAAGGTGCACCTATTCAGAGATCTTATGATGTGATACTAGTCTCATTATTGTTCTACAGTATACTTTTTGTAATGGATCAGTTTTTGTTATGGCCTCAGGCTGTAAACTGTATATTGAACACTTCAGTGCTGTTTTGTACAGTCAGCCAATAAAAGACACACCTATCTGAGAGAAATCCAAAGTCTTTTGTGCATCACAACACCAAAGAGACTCCTGAGTAACTCGGGTCCCCAAAGAACAGCACCACAATACACCATGACGATACATCCTGAAAAGGGTGCTTGTTATATTACTTTACACGTATCCAATGTCAAATGCCAGTTTTAATCTCCCCTTTGTTGTCCAAATACGTTTTTGTCCCCAAGACATGCCATCAGTGTGACTGAGGGCACATTTATTTCAAACTTGGGCCCATAAGCAGCAATTGTGGTCACACTTGGGAAATAAAGAAATTAACCTGGTACAAGCCTGTGTGCCCAAACCAGTCATTCAAATCTCTTAAAACATCTGCAAAAACAACATGCTGGGACGAAGCTAGTATATAAGACCGGCACAGACCCAGACTCATCCAACGCCACTCCACCTCCACCTAAGCAACAGCGGCTGGATTTTAACCAAGGGACTGCTATCCAGGGAAAAGTCGATAAAGCCATTGCACGGTATGTTGTAGAACACATGCAGGCTATTGCTACAGTGGAGTCACCCGCTTTCAGGGAGCTAGTTAGCATGATAGCATGTCCGGGCGGCACACGGCATATGGGACGGAAAACGTTTTCCAACTACCTGGAGAAAGAATATACAAAAATGGAAAGCCAGCTAATATCGATGCAATCCAGATTGCATATAAGGCATGTCAAGTTGATCAACAGATTGTATTATTCTCCAATGCAATAACAGTACTGAAATGAAGGCTATAAGGGCATTAATGGGAGCACTTTTTTAAAGTAACTAAAAAGTTACTTTTTACAGTAACGCATTACTTTTTTTGTAAGTAATCAGTAAAGTAACTGAGTTACTTTGAAATGAAGTAACTAGTAATGGTAACTAGTTACTGGTTTTCAGTAACTAGCACAACACTGGCAATGGGACGTCCTTTCCTCCGGAGCGTCACGTGAAGCGACGTCCGTTTGTGATGACCCTGCACAGCTGATCGTCTGACAGCAGCCAGCTCTGTCCCCGTTATTTCCACACACCCCCCCGCCTCTGTTAGTACCGGTTAGTACACATTTACTGACACAAACATTTGTATCATCTGTTTTTGACCCAAATAAATAAAATTAAATAAGAACTCATTCTTAAAAAAGATAAACGCCATTCTTAAAATGTATAAACGAACAATAGTTTGATTAATATTGATTAGAGTGCACAAAATAAATAAAATAATTCAGAGAAGAAAAAGAGATATGTTATCTATCAAAACCCAGTTAGATTAACATTAATTGGACTGCATACTTTGTTTGTTTGTTTGGATATGTAGCAAATTAACATTTTAAATAGCACTTAATGACTGAATGGAAATGATAATAAATGAAAATGTAAAACGAAAAAAGCGATCATGAAAATGTTTCCAAAAAATGAATAAAATGATTTTTGACCACTTTGTTGTTCAGATATATCACATATTTGTAACTAAATGATACATTAATTGAAACAAAACACGGTATAAACTGAGGAGTGAGTCCCGTGAGGTTCATGTATTTTCTTCACTCCGCTGGGAAACTGCTCTCATGTCAAGAAACATCAGATCAGTGCATGCACTGCATCGTCCAATCAGTGAGCGATACACAGTAAGGGGGCGGGGCGAGTGTCTGAGGATTTAATCGAAGGATGGTCTGGTGGTTCCTCGGTTTTAGCTCCTCCATTATCGCTCCTCCGGCAAAAATAAGGCCATTGGGACCAAGCCCCCAGGAAGTGCGCCGGAGTCTGATGAGAATATTCGTGCTGGTCAAACGGCGGTACTACACTTCCTTTTGGTTGCTGGGCCCGGAAAAACTTTTTCCCATTGACTTACATTGGGAAAGAGTGGTCTGTAACTCGTTGGATAATTTTTTTTAAACTAAATAAACTACCCAGTATGAACATTTGTATAGCCATTATTAAAAACATTCGTTCCTCAAGTTGTAAAAATGTGCTAATAACGTTATTCTGAGAGGTATTTCCCTCGGCATTATGAACGCGCATCTAACCCACGGGACCGCGCCGCCCTGCACGTTCATGTTACGTGTTCAGCACTACATGAGTTTCTCTTTATCCATGGATGCACAATAACGACGGACCATATCGCCTTACTGCCAGCCCACAGAGCTGTAATAATGGATATATTGCACATGTTTGCTGTAATTCATCATTTGTAAAATATTATACTACATGGGCTGTATGATGTAAATCTTGTACTGTAAATGTTGTATTAAATAAAGTTAATATTACCGACGTAGATTAACGTTCCTGTAGCTTCTTATTGCACTTGCAATTGTTTTAGTTACTTGTGGGCTACTTAACATGAATAATCACAGTTACTATCCTTTTACTCCATCACATTTCAAAAATAAATAGGCTATTGTTATTTTAACTCCACCACAGTAATCCATCAACAGCTTTACTTTTTAGATAAAGTTTTAACTCACAATTGATCATAACAGGCTTCAACATATACATTTTTATATATTACCAAGTGGTTTCATGTACAACCCACACAAGTATCATGCTAAATTAAGCTCTGTTGCTTGGATATCACTAGATCCTGATGTCAGCGTAATATAAAAGTACATAACGATTGATGTGTAACTTAGCATCATTTACTAGCTAGCCGCTAGCTGCTAACTGCCGCCTCGTTAATATAAATCCAGTACCATGCTGTCATGAACGCGCGGTGCTGTTACGTGTACGCAAATTCACGTGCTTAATGTGAACGAGCCTTTTGGGCGGCGTGGTTAAAGTTGCGCATGCTCTATGAGTGCACATACGGGTACTTCTCAGGCATGCCGGGTAATCTGTGACGTTTCGCTCTCTCAAAAGTTGGGCCATTTTGTCATCATGCGCCATTGAGCAACTCTCATAATGAATGAGGCCCCGCCTCCCATGCTGTATCCAGTTCTTATTATACATCCATGATTAGGACGCTACTCAAGATGGCGCAGACAAATCAACTTCCGGTGAGACAGAGACCGAGGAGCGAGGAAATGAAAAATAAGAGAAGTGAGAAGGGCCCTGCGTCTATCGTTTTTCCAACCCAGTTTAGATCCCACTTCCGCATTACGCAAGCATCGACCCGGCGTTACGTCACAGCATCAACCGCGTTACATCCCTATGGTTACATCACTGCCTCACGCGGCACACCCGCGGAATCTGACAAGCGAAATACCGTCCTTTTAAACGCCGCATAATATACAATATACAATATAATAGTGCTTCTTTGTCAATATGACTGACGACCACACTTATGCAGTGCTGAGGAATGTTAATTCATCATTTAATATTAATTCCTGATGGATATAAGAGGGATACATTAGCAAACATCTGAATATATATTCAATATTCTGCACTTACACCAGCTGATAAGATATATAAAACGTTTTAAACGACATTTGAGGATACACACAGGCTATTTATAGATGATAAAACACCAGTAATACAATCTCAGGATATGGCTTTGATTATAGTATCATTTACTTTCAGTCAACAAATCCTTTGGAAAGACAAAAAACAACTATTCAATATCCTGCTTTACCGCGACCGCTAAACTGCCGAAGATGAAGTCTATGACGCTATCGCGTAGAGCTACCGTCGAAGCTTGAAAAGATGAACATTGCTCAACTTTTGCAGCGAGCACCTCGAGAAAAGCTACGCTTTGCTCCCACAATGCAGTTCGGCGAAGCGTGACGTCACCCCATTCAAAGTGAATGGGCAGAAGCGTTGAAGCTTCAACGCACGCCGCTGTGTGGATGAGCCGTAACGCAGCGTCCACACGGCGGCGTGCGTTGAAGCTTGCCGTTGGGCGTGTCTGAAACTCGACCAACAACCAATCACATTAATCTCCCGCCCCGGACACACAAGCACGCGGTTTGATTAGCTAGAGCTTGTACTGGCATATGATTTGATAGATATAGATAAAGAATCGGAGGGATGAAACCCTCTTTAATGCTCACACATGCAGAGCACACAGCACACACAGTGAAATGTGTTCTCTGCTTTTAACCCATCCTAGTACCAGGAGTCTAGTACTAGGAGCAGTGGGCAGCTATTGTACAGCGCCCGGGGAGCAATGGGAGTGGGGGGAGGGGGATGTCCAGTGCCTTGCTCAAGGGCACCACGGCAGGGCCCAGGAGGTGAACTGGGACCTCTCCAAGTAGCAGTCCACACTCCATATTTAGGTCTGTTCGGGGACTTGAACCGGCAACCCTACAGCTCACAGACCAAGCCCCTACTGACTGAGCCACTGCCGGACCGGATTGGCTGATGCTTCCGTCGAAGCTCGACCAACGCGAGCAAAGCGAAGCGACGGAACCACAATGCAGTCCGGCAAAGCGTGACGTCACCCCATTCAAAGTTAATGGGCAGAAGCGTTGAAGCTTCAACACACGCCACCGCTTGGACGGGCCGTAAACACAGCTGACAGCCGCGGTGAAACTCGAGCGATTAGAGCAATGCGAATATTGGGTAGTCTACCATAGTATTTACATGGAGATAATATTTATAATAATAACTAATGCTTTGACAAGTGTGCAGACAAGACGGCAGGCGAAAAACCTTTTAAAATGCGTGTTTTCTGAATGGAGATAGGATCGATCAGGCTAAACTAACCTGTAGCTGCTCCGTCCACACTCACAACAACGGCATACAGACATAAATAAAGCAGCGACTGTATTCGCCATGACATAGACAGTCTGTGGTTTGTACATGTTTAACTTTTGTCCAGTTTCTGAACAGATATGATATGAGGAGCTGTGAGCTCTGAGTGTGTGCTAACAGCTAACGGTTGATGTGTTGGCACCTATGGTTGGGACATGTTGCGCTGTCGGGTGCTGACCAATCACGAAGCGTCATTTCTGGACTGGCAGCAAAAACAACCAATC